TAGATCTAGATGACAGTTTCAAGTGATGATGGACTTAAGCTCCATCTGCCTCCCACTTAGGGGTGGCAAATGGGCGGGTTGGGCTGAATTTGGGCGGGTCAAGAAGGGTTGAGTCATTATATGGGTCATTGCCCAACCCAACCCAAAGTATACTTGGGCTAAGATGAGCTGGGTCAAGATGGGCTAAACAATGAGCCATAACTCAACCCGCGCAACTTGACCCATGTTTTAGAACCATGCTCCATCTTGCATAAATAAAGCCTTTTACCTTTTATACACCTATGTATGTTCCCTACTTTCTTAGCTTCCTCATAATTTATTCATTTCATGCACGACGATGAATTGCTATATATCTAATTTTAAATGTTTAGCTGAGAAACACATATGGATTAATCTTATATTCAACTGTACATGAGCTTTTATAACTTTCTAAAACTAAATAAAGGTAATTTTAAGTTACAAAAAATCTTTTGAAGAAATTTCTGTACAAACTTTGATTTATATATATTTATGTAGTTATTATTTTTTCTTTACAATGTAACGTAAGAAGCCCTACTCCTCACTTAAGAAGTATTCCCTCCTTTCCAAAAACATATTATTAGTATTTTGAGAATCAAAATATATTATTTTAAATAACAAATTAGTATTTAAGATTTAAGTTGAAAAATATCTTTTATGTTATTTCTAAATAAGTAAATTTCACCACAACTCAGTTACAAAATTATTCATTTTTGCATCAAAACTTAAAAACCTTAAATCTCATTTTTAAACTTAGATACATGACATGATGGGGCAACTAAGTAAGTTTCTAGAAAAGCCTTCGGTTAGATTGAGATCCTTTTGTTTTGGGTGAGCTTCATGGGTTATATTTGGGCTACTTCATGGGTCAAAATGAACTATAAAAAATGATGGGCTAACTTGGGTTCAGCCCAAATAGACCCATGAGCTAAAATGTTTGTAGCCCAACCATTAATTTCTGGGCGGGTTGGGTGGGTTAGATGAGTTTGGGCTCAAATTGCCACCCCTACTCCTACCTTATTGGTGATAGAAGTTTAGGAATCAGCAGGTTAGCTGATTACTGGAGATGACCTTGCAAAGCCAAGGCTACTTGGGGTAAGCGCATTGCATTTTCTCTGTTCACTGAACTGCTGAATCAGCTCATTCACCTATAAATTGGTAGGCATGCAAAGTCGAAGGAACCGTCTGAGTGCATCTTTTAATCCTAGTCCTTGTAGATCATCATTTTATTTCTTTTCCATGTCCACCACAGAAAAAAATGCCCCGTCAGATGATATTTGTAGTACTGCAGTTTCCACTGCCAAAAAATGGAGAGTGAAGTGTTAGCTTGTAAGTTCCATGATATAGAACTATAGATATTGGTGACACTATTAGTCAGTGGTCACTGAAATTTAATGCCAAAGTAGTGAAGATAAAAAGTATTAGAAGACATAACGTCAATACTCCCTTTGTATTCAATCTGAAAGAGTCTCTGGAGTGTTTTCTTGCTAAACACATTGATCTTTGATGTGCTTTCTTTAGCAAACTCTTCTGCAATCTCGTCATGCTTGTATGGCTTGCTTAACTTTGAAAGTTTAATTTTGAAGTAGGTCTTAAGAAAAAAAGGACTTTGAACCTAACTCAACTCTAAAAGTTAGCGATCAATATTGTCCAAAATCATAAGGAGTCAATGCTCAATAGTGTGTTACCTCAACTGATGTGGTACATTCTAGCCAGAGATGGGCGGGGGGTTGAGAGATTCAAGATAAGAGAACAGAATGGCACAATTTTTGGGTACAAACAATTTCTGAGGGCCATCGGATTGGGTAAAACCTGAATTAACCGTGGTGCACTTGCGGGAAACTCCTTGCCGAGGGCCTGTGCACCCCCGGGAATAGTGGNGTAAAATTTTACGTTTAGGTTCTACCACATGGTGGGAAGGTGGGAAGTTCCTGGAGGGAAGGATGTCGGGGGTCTATTTGGAAACAGCCTATCTACCCCAGGGTAGGGGTAAGGTCTGTGTACACACTACCCTCCCCAGACCCCACTAAGTGGTATTATACTAGGTTGTTGATGTTGTTCTACAACATGGCTCTATGTACTTGTAGTGCTTAGATATATTTTTTTTTTTTGCTAATTAGGGATGTTTATTATTATGCAGGAAATTAATAAGTGCTATTACAACATGGAACTGGTCTTAACAATGCAGTCCCTAATAAGTCTTTGCGGAAAATAGAGAAAGCAAATAAAGGTGGTTCACTCTAGAAGTGGTCTTCACACTCAACAAGAATGCAGTCCCTAATAAGTCTTTGAGGAAAATAGAGAAAGCAAATAAAAGTGGTTCACTCTAGAAGTGGTCTTCACACTCAACATTAGGTTGTGAGTTGCAGGTGCTCCCATATTTAGCTCGGGCTTAGAATTTAGAGTATAAGGGTAATTTTCCTTTGAATCTATTCATAGGTGTACTGGGATTAGTTCTCAATACATAAGTTGAATTCGCCGTGTATATTAATTAGATTTAACTGGAAAACCAAAAGGAAATAATTGAAATTTTTATTCTGGTTCAGTTTTTCAATTTGGTTTGGCCAAATTTTTATTTTTATTTTTAAAAATCGCCTTTTATATATTGAAAAAGCCGTAGTTCTCGGCAAAAGTTTATAGTAGAGGCTTACAATGGGAGAAAGGAATAATCACCAACTACAGGAAAGCATACTTATGAGTTACTAGAGCCAGCAACATGAAGAAATAATCTGTCATATGAGGGATTATTCTAATCGCACTGTGATTTGTAGCATGACAATCTACAAGTGCTAGTAAGATAGTACATGTATGCATTACCTTCGCTGAATAACTATATAAATAATGAAGAAAAGAAAAAGATAGATCAAACTGAACTTATTCTGGTTCAAATTAGACTGCATATTTACAGAAGCCAAAGTAAAAAATTGAACTGGAATATAATAATACAAGTTCGAGCCTAATAAGTATACCAAGGATTCAGAATAAAAGGGAATAAAGGACAGTCTAAAATACACTAGCCTTCTGTTTAAACTCGCACTACATTCACTCTCCTTTCCTTTCCTCTCCTTCAGGTTAAATATCTATGCGAATAAGTTAGCGCTCAACAAACGTTAGTTTAAACTTCTTATCGATACAACTTTGAATATATTAACTATGGTCTACTGAAGACATGTAACCATATGTATTCATTGGGTCGGTGTAAATATAAGGTACGGCATGAGCATTTTAAGTTATTTAAAAACGATTGCGTGCAGATAATTTTACTTGCAACTCCTTAGAAATGCAATGTACCCAAGTTTAACATAATCTAATCAAAGGTCAAAAGAAGTCACCCGGAAAAAAGGAGTTATAATGAACAAAAGGCCCAACCTTTCACTTTGGAGGCGTTTGCCAAATTTTACCACAAGTGGTATCTCCACTCCACTTGGGCACAATTATACCTTTCATGAATGTGCCCATTTTCATATGTTTACTATAAACTAGTTATATTTCGTACTTTCGATCTAAGAAGTAGTGGGTGTTTGACTCGAGAGCTTCATGCTTTGACCTTGGAATTGATATCTTTGAGATGCATATATTATAAGCATAATTAGCTAGCTTTACTCAAAAGCTACATTTGGTCCCATCAATGATTTCTGTGTTAGTTTCTCCCTGCCGAATTCATCTAAGATCATCATATCCTACCTATACATTTAATAAAGAGCCAAAAGAACTTAAAAAGAAAGGGAGTTAAGAAGGGAAGTTTGTTTTCATAGCAATATAAATACATGTACCTTCCAATCACTAGTACTATCTTTCTTCTTGTGTGATGTCTTTATCAGATAAAAACAAGGAAACAAAATAAAGGAACTTAGAAAACAAGTTGAGATAGGGGCCATGAGAAGAGCAGCATGTTTTTGTGCAATCATAATGGCTTTCAATTTGATTTGGTCATTCCCAAACAAAGCAAAGTTCCAAAGAAAGCAAATTATATTGGTGAAACTCATAACGTCAACATATATATTGAGAGATGATGGAGTTGCCTTTGCTCACAAGAAACTAACTTGTTTAAAAAGTGTATACCTACACATGCAAACTTCCACAAACACCAAACAAAACTTGGGGTGGGTGGGTTGTGTGTGTGTATTTTTTTTTTTTGNCCAAAGTAATAGTTTATGTCTTAATCTAGTGAACTTCCTCTCGGATTTATGAATTGCTACACGTGGTGAGGAGGACGAAACTTTTGATTATGCTGATATTTAGAATTATTTTCTCTGTTAAGACAAATAAACCAACATGCCGTGCCTCATTCTTTGGGTTTAATTTGTTTGGCTTTATCTACTTAAATCAGTGTTGAGAGTGCTACTCAATCTATTGGATATTTCTCTTTTAGTCCCTGTTTCCATATTCAATTTGACCAATTTTTAAGTGTAAATGGGCGTTTCCTTAAATTATGAGGGGATTTTAAGTTACTTTCAAGCTATAAGGAGGTAAACGTAAATATAGAAAACAACATGAGTAAAATGCATAAGTATTAATTACTGCTATATATCATGTAATCTTTTAACATAATTTAACGGTTTAGAAATTTCGTTAAAATGGATTTTCACAGTAAAACTTTTGACCAGTATGGAAATGAAATGGTCCCTTGAATTTGCTTTATAACTTAGGCAGATCTAAAGTCAAAGAACAGAAAGGGGAAAAGAAACAAATAGAAAGAAGAGAGACATGGCAATCTTTTTCTTCACAAGTTTAGGCTTTAATGTATGCCTATCACATAACAGCAACGCTCATCACGTTTTAACAGTAATTAACACCTTAAAAAGCACTTTGAATCCCAATGCCAAAAAGAGTAATTACTCTTTAAGAATCCTTAAAAGTAACCTTTGAATTCCAAGGTTATAAGTTTCCCATTTCACATTCAATAAAGCACTTTAATTTTGGCAAATCAATTAATACAAGTCGTTTTTTTAGAAACTTTACTTTTTCTAGAATTATCTGCAAACAAATAGTAGCAGAACTAAATTTGAATATATCATTTACTTTCCTACTCCTTTCTGTCATAATTTGTACTACTCCCTCCGGTCTAAAATAATTGATTTTTTTAGTTGTTTTCACGCAAATTAAAAGTTTTACCTTTTAATATTAATTAGCAGTGAAATTGACCATATTAATCTTTACTATCTCTTCACATAAACACTCCTAACACATACTCCAATACTATTTACTCCAAGGACAATGTAGAAAAAAAATAATTAATTCATTCTTGAAATATAGAAAATTAAAATCACTTATTTTGGACCACAAAAAGGCCAAAAAATCCTTATTTTAGACCGGAGGGAGTATAAGATTCTTTTTGGATTTTATAATTATTAGTAACTATTCTATATAATGTTTGCAAATTTAGAAATTAAGTTCGTTTAATTAATTGAACTTTATGTGATGCTTTACTAAAAAATTTACTTCTTAGATTTTGACACAATTAAATGGTAAGGCAATTAGTCGCCACTTCCTTTAATCCATTTTTATTGAGATTTTCATCTTTGTTAATAACATTAAAACTAATTACTTTTCTTACTCTTCTTTCGTCTGTCTACATTTTAACTTCTATAACCTTCGTTCACACTCCACAAAAGTCTATATTCATACAAAATCACTTTCTTGCGTGTTTTCTCTGGAGAATACTTTCCTTGCCCGAGGGTATCATCAATTTATACTTTATAAAAGATATGTAAAATGATGACAAATAGGTCATTAATTATTTCAAAATAATTACGACATTAATCTCTACGCTAAAATTTTGTTAACATCTTCAGAAAAAATGGAAAAATCAATCGAGCACTATGTTGTAAATTAAAATTTCAATGTTCTTTGATCCAATTTTAATTCATTCAAAGTTTACATCACACCCTTGGAGGTGTGACCCTTCCCCGGACTCTAGGTGAACGCGGGATACATACCATGCTGGCCTTTTTTAAAGTAAAAAACGAATATTGCATATATCACAAATTAAACTCTTGCTTTGTCTCAAACTTTTTTTTTTTGTTTTTGAAATGACACAATAGTCAATATATGTAAAATAGACTCAATTAGTGTGATTGATACTTTCATTTTGACAAATTGACACAATTACCTAGTAATAACATCTCACCTAATTTGATGTTTCAAAGATATTTGAAACTGTACAATCAATAATTTATGACTGATAGAACATGTTTTTTTGTTTGTTTTTTTTCATTTGTCAAGTCTTAGAGATTGTTTTAGAATGTAAGGAAACAAAATAAATATGGATCCATCACGTGTGTGTGAAAGAAGGGGCGGACGGGAATGCTTACATAAAAATGATATAATGCTTACGTAAGCAACCACCATTTAATTCGGGGAAAAAAAAGGAAAAGGAAAAAGGGAAACAGAATTAAAAAGAAATAGAAATTAGAATATTGTTCCTTAACTTGGTGACACAAGACAACTACCAAATAACAATCATAGCACACAAAAGCTAAAAAGGCTACTCAATACTTAGCAGCGGTAGCAGTAGTATCAAAAGGAAAGAAACAAGAAAATGTTAGGAAATAAAAACAATTTAATAAAACATGAACAAGAAATAAAAATAATTTAGTAAAACATGAACAAGAAATAGAGATAGAGAGAACGAAGAGATTTTCTTCTTCAATGATGTCTATTTTCCTATTTATTACAAGGTCTTTATATAGAGCATTTGTATTTATACCCGCTTTTTGTGTCACGTTTTAATTTGTGCCCGCTTTGCAAAAAAAAATTACAAGTGTACCCGCTTTTTCGCATAACTTCAGCATACGGGACTGAAGTAGCAAAGACAATCACGTAAAACTTCAGCATTCTAGTAGCTGGGCCTGAAGTTCAGCTCTAGAGCTGAAGTTTTTGTTTTTGTAACTGGCGAACTTTAACTTTAGAGCTGAAGTTTTTGTTTGTAACTGGCGCACTTCAGCTCTAGAGCTGAAGTTTTTGTTTTTGTAACTGACGAAGTTTTTGTTTTGTAACTCGCGAACTTGTTTTGTGTTTTTTGAGTAATATGTATGCAATGTTATATTAATTTGATTGATATTGTCACACCTGTGCTCTGTTAAGAATTCTACTCTTTTTGTATTTCCAGTTTCAAGTGTTTCACTTTAATCTGATTCTATTTTCATCTGAACATAGGTGTGGTGCCGGTTTCTGCTACAACTGTGGAAGACGAGTTTATCATCACTGGTGTCGTTGTAATTCTGCTTCCACAGGGACCTTCTACTGTTTTGTAATTCTTGCTATCATATATTTCTTTCTCATCTTATGGATTCACTAGAATTTGCATAGACATTTATGCACCTGAGGCAACAGGGGCGGATTTACCATGTAAAATATGGTTCACATGAACCCATGGTCCTCGGGTTAAAATATAGATATGATGTACATAATTTGGCAAAAATAGTTATATATACTTGATGGAACCCATGGTCAAAAGAGACCAAGTGGTGCACTAGTTTTGGTCTCTTATTTCCAATAGCCTAAGGTCATGGGATCAAATACCCTACCAACTTTTTGGTTTAATTTTTTTTT